GGGGTCAAGTGCAAGGTGCCAGCTGACTGTTTTACTCCTGGAAATTTCCGGTCGACGAAGGAAATCCTCCTGGGGCTGGAATATTCTGAAAGGAATATCCAGGGCATGGCCAGGCTATAGATTATTGGATTATAGTTTGTATTGTAGTTCCTTACAAGGAGGATTTTTCCGGCAGATCAGCGGATGGCCTATTCTTGAATCTTGGCAATTTTGGCCTTTCTACCAGTTTATGTTTCTATGCAAAATCCTATGACTAGGTTACTTGGAATTTATGTTGTAGCTGTAGACACAAGAGGAGTAGGGCCATGACCTGTACAATGCTATAATTGTCACGAGTGCAGACATATATCCACAAATTATCTACATCATTAACAACAAGTTGGCTATCAACCAATTTATAGAATTTACATCACTAAAGGGGTCATAACTTCCTCTCACTATACTTAGGCCACCATCTGGTCACTATTCTTTTTGGGTCTACCAACCTTTCTCCCTCTAGATCCACCATGCCCTAGGGGGGCTCTGGGGGGTTCTAGAAGTATAGTAAGAATAGTGTGTGAGTTGGAGGAGTCGGATAGTTGAGGTCAGGTTGGGGCTAGATTCAGGTGGGTGCATGCTATGCATGGTGTTGCCATGCATGCACGAGCTCAGCCACAAGGGCTCCCTTGCCTTGGCTGCTTGATTGCCAGTAAAGCTCACAATAGTGTAGTATGATCAAATAAATGATCCATGAACCAACCAAAGTATTACACCTTGCCAAAGAACTATTACATATCATTCACGCATTTTGGTCTAGGAAACTTTAGCACTTCAAGCAAAATGTAATACCTAAAATAAGTAGTGTCTTTAGAACCAAACACATATTTAAACTGCTTTAGCTTCAAGCCAATCTTTCGCAACTAATCCAACACCTTGTGCACATCACCAACATGTTCCTCCCATGTCTTATCTGAATAGATCAAAACATCATTAATGAAGTTGATAGTCACCTCTGGCAGATTGCAAAGAACCTCATCCATCATCTGGTGAAATATTATTAGAGCATTGTTCAAACCAAATGGCATGACCATGAACTCATACAGCCTGAAGGGTGTACAAAAAACAATTTTAGGAATGTCCTCCTCAACCATCAGTACCTGCCAATACCCTAATGCAAGATCCAACTTGGTGAACCATTGACTCCATCCCAAACGATCAAGTAGATCCATTGTGTGAAGAAGTGGGTATACATTAGGAACAATCACATCATTAAACAAATAATAATTAATACAAAATCAAATGTTCCTATCAAACTTTGTCACAAGATGAGATTCATAAACCCAAGGATTCTAAGACTTTTGGATAACTCCTTTCTTCAACATATCCTTCACATTAGCTCACAACATCTTGATTTCCATGGGTGACCAATGTTGAACAGGAACCTTGATCTAACAAGCATCTTTAGTGGGAATAGGGATTGGTTGGGTTATCTAGAGAGGCAAGGAAGATCTCCTAGAAGAGCTCATCTTTCACATCAATTATCTTGGAGCTGACCAGCCAACTTTCACTCTCAATTTTTCCAAAAGTTTGTTTTTCATTCTCAAAAGTTTGGTTCTTGTTCTTATCATCTCTCCATATGTGCTAATCAGATCATAGCTCAATATTACTAGCTCATTTGTCTCAACTTCACGATAAGTTTTGGAAGAAAAAGAAAGTGTTTTTTTCATGAATTTCTAAGCCATTCCTCATGCATAAGATTGAGTTTATGGCCTTGCTCTCCAGAAACCACCAACACTATTCTAGTGGGCAGCTCTCTCCAAGTGATGAGATTCACAATGAGCTTGTGTGTGTACTCCCCCTCGATCCTTGCCACAATCTTTTTTGTTGCCATTGGCCTCGTAAAACTGTAACAGCAGTGGTGATCCACCTGTCAAGTGCTCCACACTGTGGAGCTGTGAGGAGCTGAGGCTTGACTGAGTGATTCAAGTCATAAGCTTGCTGGAGGTATAAGGCTTGTCAAAGTGGAATGTTTCCATCTCCTTTGAATACAATGTAAACTGTAAAAGTGAAAAAACTACTTAGCAGGAATAAAGATGCCAGCTGATTATTTTTTAACCCCAGCCAAGAATCAAGAATCGGATTCTGTCCTGCAAGCTCCAAGCTCAAAGGCTAGCTGGTTAACTAAACAAGAAGCACAAGTGAACTGCCTTAGTGATCTCTATTTTTATTTATGGCTCTTGTTTTGGTCGGAACAACAGGAGCATGCAGTCTTTTTATCGTTTAGAGTGTCATTGATCCTTTTTTTTTTCTCTCTTTGGGAATTTGTGGCTTTATAACTCAAGATATGCTCCTGTTCTTGCTGGGATGGTTCAGAAAGTTTTTAGAGTTTAGAAGTTCTAACCTCTACATCACTAGTGAGAGCTATGTAGGTTCATGTAGCTATGTAGCTATGTTATGCCTTGAGACTGGTGCAAGGGGTGCTCCTCTACTCGCGTGACTCTTTGTTTCTCAAAAGAATTGCTCTAATCCTCATAAGTCTCCATGTCCAGACCATTGTACCATTGCAAAGCTATGCTTTGTAGATACATAAGAAACTCCCACAAACAACATGCATCATCCCAAGAATGATAGGAAGTGTTAATTGCATGATACAAGAAAGAATATAAAAGAAAAAATAGTTTACTTCTAGCTCTCTCATCTCTACAGAGACAAGCTTGCTTGATTTTACTTCTCCAATTGTGATGAAGAAATCATCACTCTTCACACTCCACACCCTCCTCCACATCCCAATTTCATTCTAGTCAAGCCAAGCCCTAGAAATAATTACCCAAGCAAATTTTTCCATATGAACTCGAAGGGAAGGTTAGAAAATATTATTTAATTTAATAATGCACAAACCATAACACTGGCAAAATCTCAAATCAACATCTACAAACTCAGTGACATTAGTAAGAGTTAAACAACAGTCACTCAAGGACTGTTGCCAATATTCTATCCAATCTAAAATGCACAGTGGCTTTCACCACTTTTAATTATGTCTAAGAAAAATGGCGAGCCATGACTAAGTGGCCACAGTGAATCTCACAGCATCATCTAGTGGTCAGCGGCCATAGCCAATGCCATCCAACAGCTAGCGGCCATGACCAATACCATCTAGTGGCCAGCAGCTATGACCAATGCCATCCAACAGCCAATGGCGCTATGGCCAAGGCCATAGTGCCATAGCTAGGGCTGTGGCTAGAACTATGGCTAATAGGGCATTGCTTAATGACACTATTGCAAACCTATAGCCATGAAGTTATTATATCTAGCCCACTTAATTGATCTAGTTACAAAACAAATCTGATGATTTGAAGAGGCCAATTTGGTGCCTTGCCAAAGCGTGATATCATTGATTGATAATGTTATATTAGAACAAAAGAGAAAGTCAATGTTTGATCAAGTGGAAAAAAAAAATAAAAATGGAGAAGACTTCTCACCTTGTATCAAAAGAATGTTAAACTTTAACGCTAAACTAGACTAGATAACAGTCCTAGTGCTATTGTGCTCTTTGACAAGAAACACTTCTCTAGTGAATTAAGTTGGACATGAAGTTGCTAAAGCATTGTTCAAACCGAATGGCATCACCAAGAACTTGTACAAACCAAATGATGTACAAAAAGTGGTTTTGGGAATATCCTTCTTAACTATTGACCCAGAAACAAGATTTAACTTGGAATGATTTAAGAGAATAATAATGTGAGGAAGAGGGTATACATCCAGGATAGTTACTTTGTTTAACAAACAATAATCAATGTAGAAATGAATACACCCATTAAACTTTGTTACAAGATAAAATTTACACACCCAAGGACTATATGACTTTCGGATAACACCTTTTTTTAATATCTTCTTGACATTTTCACTTAAAATCTTAATCTCCTTTGGTGATCGACAACAAACAAGAACCATGATTGTGTAATCTCCTGAATTTAGACTTCCCAGGAGGTCACCCAACCCAGTATTATTCAAACCCAAGGATGTTTAACCCCAAATATCCCAAGCTTTTAATCGAATGGAAAAGGGAGTGCACTCTTGTTCATGGGCCTTTTTCCTCTGTATTTGAACCCCATGGATCGTCTCTCAAGTCGTTCTCTTTGGTTGCTTACAATTCACCACGCTTCCCTACAAGTTCACGCCCTCGTGAATGGAAGCTGAGAGCACCACGCTTCCCTACAAGTTCACGCCCTCGTGAATGGAAGCTGAGAGCCGCAGCTCTCTCGAGAGTCCCTTTGGGTCGATGAAACGTGTATGTACATTCCCCAATGTCCCGTAGGGACTAATACAAAAATTGGGCATGCTGCCCAAAGCTCATGCTACCTAGTGGTGATCTCCCTCATCTAAAGTGAGACTAGGCCTGCAGTAGAAGCGGCTGCGGTCGTCTCCGTCGTATCTCGTCCAGATCCACGTCCCCCCTTCGTGCTGACCGCAAGATCGACTCCGGGGGGCGCCATCTCCAACGAACCTCCTTGTGATCTCCTCTACCAAAACATGGCAGCCATGCTTTTTGCCACTCCTCGAGCCTCTCGAGCTTCCCCCTGTCCCGGAGGATAGCATGGTGAAGCCGTATTGCCGCCAGTGTAAGTCTCCACCACTCTA